ATCCACACTCCCACAAATAAAAAGATGCAGAAAAAGGCAAAGAGTAAAATCAGGGGTGCCTGACGGGAGCTGGGGCTATCCATGGCTGGTGCTGAGGTGCAGGATGGCCGCTCCTTCCTGGTGCCAGGTTGTGCATCAGTAGGATGAAGCTGCGGCAGTTCGCAGGAGCTTGTCCGAGGCACAGTATGAACTGATGTGGTGCCGAGGGAGATCGTGGCAGTAACACCATAGACATGTGGGGACACCAAGTGGCCAGAGGGACTGCGTGGGTTTGGGACGGCTGTGAGCTGTTGGCACCGAAGTCCTGCCGTGTGGGGGGATTGCAGGGGCACAGCAATGTCGAGAAAGTTGTTTTGAAGCGGGTTGTGGGTCTCCTGCTGATGGAAAGGGGCTGGGGGTCCCCCTGATACCTTGCAAGGTTGGGGAGCTTTTCTCAGGAGTCACTGGGGCCTGTGAGTCCCTGAGCAGCCTGGTGAGCCCAATGGTCCTGAGATGGAGACCTGGCCACCGAGTCCCCATTTGGAGAGCAAGTGGCCACTGCTGCATCGCCAAGAGCTGGTACCAGCTGGTCCCAGAGCTCGTCTGTCACCTTCAGGAAGGGGAAATGTCCTTCCTGAGGCCCTGGATGGGCAGAGTTGCAATTTCAAGGCATTCAAACATTCAAAAACTTAAAAGTAGAGCCTGCAAAATGCACAAATTGTATTTCTTTTTACCAGGACTCCAAAAACTCTGTGACAAAACATGAATGGGATTGTCTAGTCACACAGTTTCAGTTCGGTGGGAAATTTCTGAGTAGGTGGTATAGTCCAATGCCATCTCCTCTGCCATGGGGCTCTTTTTTTGTGGATGATCTTTTTGCTTCTCCTGCTCTTCCAGGCCTCCTCAGTGTTATTTGTCTTTTCTTCTGCTTCCTCTGGCCATTGTCCTGATGTTGGCTTTATAAGTTTGATAAATGGTTTTATATTATTTGCTGGGATCCACCTTGGGCCTGCCCCTGTGGAAACACAAGCATACCTTGTCCCACCAGGTCATTAGGGGGTAGGAGCCCATAACTTCTTTGGTTTTGGGGTCTTTGTTCAACACAGGCAGTTTGTCTTTTAATTGTGCTTGGGTCGAACTGGAAAAGTGCCTGATGATCAGGGGAGATCCCTGAATGAATTGTTCAGAAAGCTGAACATGAACACCTTCACCAGTCTCTCAATGGGAGATATTACCTGGACTGCCCCTCTCTGTTGATCAAGGACTCATTTGATGGAATGGTGTCAGAATGGACCGTCCTGTTGGGGAATGGGGTATGCCTGTGTTATGCCACACACCCCACTGATTTAAAAATCGGTGGAACCGATGTGAGGTGTAGGCAGGGTCATTGTCTGTTTTAATTTATTGGGGGAAGGTGGAAAAAGCTAAGAGATAATGCTTGATGACACCTTTGCTTTTTTCTTCTGTGTGGGTGGAAGCAAAGCATCCAGAGGATGTGTCAATGGACACATGAATTTATTTTACATGGCTGAAGGGGGCAAAATGGGTCACATCTGTCTGCCAGCGCTGGAGACTTTGCAGTCCCCTTGGGTTGACTGCAGCTCTGAGAGACAGGAGAGTATAAGCCTGACAGGGCATGTAGCCACTATGGATCTTGCCTGCTCTCTACTACTTTTAAACATCCTCACTAGTGTGGGTACACTTTGTTGGAAGAACTGGTGGCTTATTTTTGCTTTTTCAAACATGTTTGCCACCATGGCTAGGGTGCCTGCTTGCCTGTTGCCTTCTGCAACAAAGCTGGGAAGGCTGGAATGGGACCTTTTCTGCATAACATAGTGGGGTTTTTTTTTATGTGGGATGGAAGATAAACAGGTAAGTAAACTATGTAATTTCGGATTTGAAATATGTTTTAGGATGAAATTTTCTGCCCTCTGAACTACCCTGACAACATAGGCCAAATCAGTGACCAGATTAAATGGTTAATCAAATATGGAAAAGACTCTGACCATTGCTGCTAATTTGGTGATCTGAGGAGACCCACGGACGATTTCAATGTTTGACTCCCTTCTGCTGTGTAGCCAGGTCCTGGTCCTTCCAGGTGATGGCAGAGTTATGGAACTCCCAGATCCATCGGTGAAGGCAGTCAGAGCCTTTAATGGAATTGAACTTCTTAGGTTTTGGCACCAAACTGAAAGCCAAATTGAACAGTTTAAGAAAATTAATTGAAATGAAAGTTGTCTGGGGTAGCTATCTAATGCATATTGCAGGGGCTCAGAAGTTTGGAGTAACCAATTTAGATGGTCAGTGGTCAAGGGCAAATAAATGTTAGCGAGGTCCATCCCTGCTAGGGCATACAGGTGGGTCCCAGCCTTTATTTTTAGCTGAGCTGTAATGTCTTGGCCTGTATTTTTAGCTGAGCTGTAATGTCTTGTGCTGCTGTGATGGTTCTGCCAGGCTGGTGGGTTCTAAAAGCCCACTCAATTCTTATCACGGGATCTGATATCTCGGGATCCCACTGAAATGTGAGTGTGTAATATTTTGGGCCAGTGCTGAGGATATCTAAGGAGAAAGGTATCTATGGATGGTACCCATGTGCTTGCCTGGTGTTTATGCCATCAGCTACCTGTTCTACCAGCGCCCTGGCCTCTGGTGTTAGGGATCATGGAGCATCGACATCCTCATCACCCTTCAAGAGCTGGAAGAGCGGTGTGAGGTCCTTGGTACCGATCCCCAGCAGTGGACGAACCCAGTTGGTGCTCCTGAAGAGACAGTGCAGATCTCAGAGGGTCCTGGGGTCATCCTTGATCTGTAGAGGCTGGGGCATGATGATCCTCTCTGCAACTGTGAGGCCAAGGCACTTCCACAGAGTGGTGTGCTGGATCTTCTCAGCAATCTCAAACCCCCTGCTCTGTACAGTTTCCGTGACATCTTGAAGAGCACAGTCTAACAGGAAACGAGTCCCTGCACTGCTGAGAATGTCATCCATGTAGTGGAGGATGATTGCACTGGGGTATTTCCTCCTAACAGAGGACAAGATTCGGGCCACAAACCACTGGCAGATTGTTGGTGGGTTCTTCATGCCTTGTGGCAAGACTGTTACGGTATTATTGCAGAGGTGCCTGTCTATTTAGGGATGGGACTGAGAACACAAATTGGGGGCATCATCTGTCTGGAGCAGGAGATTAAAAAAATAGTCCTTCAGGTTGATGACCACCATCTGCCAGTCTTGGGGAATCACAGAGGCTGTGGGCAGGCCAGGCTGGAAGGGACCTTTACCCTCAGTAACCTCATTGCTCTTTCGTAAGTCTTGCAGGAACCACCACCTGTCCTTGCCTGGTTTTTGAATAATGAAGACAGGCATGTTCCAAGGGATAACAGATAGAACTATACAACCCTTGGACACCTGCTCCTGTATAAGGGACTGCAGCACCTTTAATTTTTTTCTCTGGAAGAAGAAATCCACCCATATGGGGTTGTCAGTCTTCCAAGTTAACTGGAGGTACACTGCTCAGTGGCCCTGACTTAGAAATCCAGTGGTAGGGTGAGGATTTCTAGTCATGTCCCCCAGTGCGATAACAGGTCCCTCCCACGGAGTGTTATAGGGGCCCAGACCACAAAAGGTCTCACTGTGGCTACTCTGCCCTCAGAGCCCTCAAAGCAGATGCTGTCCCAGCTCCTGAAACTGGTGGCTTCTCCCCCAATGCAAAATGACCCCAGCGGCTGGTACAAGGGGCTATTTCTCTGGCCACTTGGAGCGGGAAATGGTAAGTGACATCCAGTCCAGTGTCCAACAGTCCTATGAGTATGAGGTTTTCCCTTGTGAGACAGAGCACGCTCTGCAACACATGTATTGTGACCCAGGATCGAAGCCCACATCGCCTGTGGATCTGCAGGCATGGTGACAGTAAAGCCAAAGATAAGTTTGGGTGACAACAGTGCCCTTGCCGTGTCAACCCTTCAACGGGGATTCCAGGAATATTTCTAGGTCTCAAAGAGACATGAGCAGTTGATGGTTGCTAAAAGGTATTTATTGTGTAAAAGCATCAGTCTCAAAGGTGAAGAATTCAGAGAGCTGAAGTCTTTGCTGAAAGCTTTTGGCGTAAAGTCCTGAGTTCTGAGCAGCAGCTCTCTGGTATAAGGTTCCCATGGTCGGGGCAGCAGCTTCTCAGCATGGAGTTCTGTTGTCCTGGGACACAGAAGCATTTGGTGATGATGATGGAGCTGCTGTTCTTCTTCCTTCGGTCGTTCTTTCTTCTCTGATCCCCAATACAGGGGATTAAATTCATAAATCATCCAATCAGCTGAAAACACACTTCTAAAACAATACTTTGTACACCAATCTGAACTTAATTCTAATGTGCGAAAGTAATGTTCTTTTTACTTAAATTTTACGTATAGGACATACAGGGTATGATCTGTTTACATGAATAATCCTATCTGTTCTTACCCAAGAATGCAAACTATATTTTCATTATGTCTAGAGCTAAGTTGAATCTGTAAAGGGCATTATAATTGAACTTTAAACTAGGTAATAAAGCTTTTCACTAGCTAACACAGACTCCTAGGGCACTTAAGCTGTATTTTTACCTACTTAAAACTAAAACCTATACTTCTACTCTACATATATGGTTTAATATATTTTAATTATTTTCTCTCTCTGAGGGAGCTCAGAGAGGCTTTTATTTTGGATTCCAACATTGCAGATGAAGAGAGAGGGGTTCAAGAATAAAACCAGAACTGTATTTTCCTGTGTTGATGACCCCAGCACCAGGCCTGCCAGCCCTTCCCTGCCCAGCTCCAAAGGCTGATTGACACATACTCTGCAGCTGCAGGACAGCTGGAAACTGCCACCCAACCTGCTCATCCCACAGGTGATGCCAGCCCCACTCTTGCAGCAAACAAAGCAGCTCTGCAGACACCACAGCAGCCCCTCAGCAGCACCATTGCCATGGCCATCCCACGCCTCCAGAGCCAGCGAGGGACGTGGCACTGCCACAGCACAGCCCCAAAGACGCCTGCTGCCCCAAGGCTTGCCTGGCCCACAGCCTCTGGGCACGGCACCTGCTGCCAGCAGCCCTTTGGCCCACACCTCCTGCCAGCCCTGACCTTTCTCCCCTGGCCTCCACAACCAGCTCCCACCAGCCTGTCTCACTGCAAAGCTCCTGCTCTTGCCACATCCTGCCCAGCCTTCCTGGCTGTCGCCAGCTTTATGTGGCTGCTGTCCCACACCTAAAAGCTGTTCAAGCTCTCATCCACCACAATCACACTGGCCAACAACTGCAGCAAAGGCCTGCAGCTTTGGCACGGTTCAAGAGCACTCGCCAGACACAGCAGCATGGCACAGCTCAGCAGCACACTCGGCTCTGCAGCTTGATGGGGCCTTGCCATGGCTCGCTGTGACATCTCAGCAGCTTCACTCAGCTGTGGCTCAATCCGTGTGCTCTGATGGCTATGTGTCCTGCCCAGTGACTCGGCTCAGTCAGTGTGGCTGCAGATGTTCCTCCAGCAAGGTGTCCCAGCATGGAGCAGCAGTGCAGCTGTCTCATCTGTCCTCCTCTCCCCTACGCCCAATGCACTGTCCGTGTCTCCCTGCTGCCGCGCCCAGTGCGCTGTCCTTGCTGGTCACCTCGGCCGGCAGCACTCGCGGCGTCTTCTCCGCCATCCTCGTGTCACACTCGGTCTTTAACTGCCTTGACGAGTCCACAATGAACCTCCAGAGCTTTATTACATTAATGGCTGGCTCATCACCTATGGAAGCTGCTTCAGTTATAAATCTGCCAGCCCCCTTCCCATGTTCTTACAGTCAAGGACAGCTCCTTCAGTCACGTCTGATCTGTGGTTCTCGGACCACATCACCAAAGCTAACAAAGCCAGCTCGTCATATTTCATCCCTCATTTATTTAAATTAAAGAGTCCATACCTTGGCAACACGGTCTTCCTGTAATGAAGCCTATGCTCCAATAGCCCCTGGCAGCATCTTCTATTCTCAAAAGATCAAGACCAGCGTGGCTTTCTCCGTTGTCTTATGCAGCTATCTATACCTGCTGCTCCACCAGGATTACCAAAGCTCTTCCCACTGCTCTCCACATTGCAGGCAGCAATCCCCGCTGCGCTCTGTCTCCCTGCAATTCCCACGGCAGCCTGTTGTGTCACATCAGTGGTCACCACTTGTCGCTGATGTTGGAGACAAATGTGTGACAGAACAAACCCAGATTCATGTGAAAACAGTCAACTTTTATTGAGTGCTGTTCTTCTTACGTAGTTTTGGAAGTCTGCACCGTTAGTCCTGATTGGCTGCATCAGCTGTCACCCGGTCAGCAGCTGCCTGTGTCCCCAGTGGCCCAGACCAGCTCCCCAGCAGTCCAGACTGGTCGAGTTACTGAATTCAGGTGTTTGCTCTGCTGAGGATGGCCGCAATGACCCCTAAAACTTCAGGGTCCCTTGACACCAGGGCAACCTGGAGTCCCCAAAACCAACTGGCATAGGAAAATCAAGTAGGGATGAGGCCCATAAAGCCTGTGCAGCACAGGAACAAAGTGCAAAGACCAGGACTAGGGGCAGACACAACAATATTTAGGGGAGGTGTGAGGGCACAGTCTGAGGGCATGGGCCCAGACACAGACTGGGGTAAGAAAGACACAAAATACTGCAACAAATTGCAACCAATTGGGGGAGAGATCCGGGAAGATTCTAGAAACATAACTTTCAATGCGATAACTTGATGAACCTATGAAGTGCCACCAGGCACATTTCAGAAACATAACCTTGTATGGGGTTGAAGTCTTTCTGGCCCTGCATCCCAGGAGGGATGACTTGCACAGTACTCATATAATCAGTTATACAGTTAGATGTATTTCAGTTATAACATTAGGATATTGATAACTGTAAGGGCTTCAGGCAAGCTGTTATCCACCACCCCTTACATCAATGAGCAATGCCCAACACCTAGCACAATGCTGCATCCAGCCCCAAGAGAACCCATAAGGCAGGAGGTGTGAACACAGAGCATGTTCCTCATGGCTGTGTACCCACAAATACCCAGACACACCTCTCCTGCCTGACACATCACACACACTGGGGACACAGAGAAAATAACAGAGCCAAATCCCCAGGCATGAGCCCCTCTGCATGGCTGGGCAAGTGTCCACGCAGGATCACCCCACGGCCCTGCTCTGTCGCTGCCACGCTGGCTCAAGGGCACAGCAAGGCAGTCACAGATGCCAGCATGAAGCCTCTGGCCGGTCTCAGCCTGGATGTTGAGACTGGTGGCTTCATGAGATTTAGCAACTGGGTGCAGAAAGACAACCTGTCCTGGTTACCTGAAACAAAATGGCTTAATAATGTGAAAATAACAAACGTTAAGCCGGAAGAATGGTATGGGTCAAACTGGGAAGGGAGCCACAAGGAGGCTTTAGCATGCACAAGTGCAGTGGCAGAAAAACAGGGGTCAGGGTGCAACAGGGATATATAAAAACTTGGATAAGGGGAGGCGCAAGGGAGGGGTTTAAGGAAAGAGTCCAGTGAGGGAAGGCAGTTAGGAATATTCAAATTTTTGCAGCAAAACACAACCAATCATAATGGAAGGAACACAGAACATTAGAGCAAAATTAAGATACTTGAAACAGGGGAATTATGGGGGCAAAACTTGGTCTCCCTTACTATGAAGGGTTTTCCCATGGCCTTAGGCTGTCACCCTTGATTATTTTATTAGAACCAACCCCAACACCAGCACGTGCCCGAAGCCCAACCTGATGCTGTCTGTCACCTGCACGTGGAAGGATATGTGTCCCTGGGTGAGGTCACTGAGTAGGCCTGAGTAGGCCCTCATTATATGTAATTGTACATTATTACAATCATTAATTATTAATGAGACTCATTAGGTCTCATTGTAGATGAGATGCAGCCAAAGCAGAAATAGAGATGCAGCTGGAGACAGAGACTGGATGTCCAAAATAGAAACTCAAGAGGACAAAACGGTGCAACAATAGTGTGAATGTAGCTCTAGAAGGAAATGGAGGGCATTTTTGCGGGGGAAGCCTGGAATACTTTGTATGTCTTCTGGCTGCTCTCAGTTTTGGGGTCTTGGGGTCACCAGGCAGCCCTGTGTCCAACAGCCCACAGTGACCATGTGAACATGTTCTCAGTGTCCTGAGATCAACTGCCAACCCTGCAAGAAATCTCAGGGATCCCCAGCCCTTTTAAGCAACCAGAGCACGCACAACCTGCCAGGCACAGAACAGCTGGAAACTGCCACCCAACCCTGCTCAAACCACAGGTGATGCCAGCCCCACTCTCACAGCAAACAAAGCAGCTCTGCAGACACCACAGCAGCCCCTCAGCAGCACCATTGCCATGGCCATCCCACGCCTCCGGAGCCAGCGAGGGACGTGACACTGCCACAGCACAGCTCCAAAAATGCCTCCTGCCCCAAGGCTTGCCTGGCCCACAGCCTCTGGGCACGGCACCTGCTGCCAGCAGCCCTTTGGCCCACACCTCCTGCCAGCCCTGACCTTTCTCCCCTGGCCTCCACAACCAGCAGACACGTTGGGCAGAGAGAGAGAGAGACAGTGCCCCACGCATGAGCCCATCTGCAGCAACAGACAGGATTCCGTGCAGGATCATCCCAAGGCCCTGCTCTGTCCACCACAATCACACAGGACAGCACCTGCAGCTCCTCAGCTCAACAACCAACAGCCCAAGCTCAACACAAAGCTGCACAGAGCCCAAACAGAACTCATCAGGCAGGAGGTGTGG